ATGCGGGATGTAGTCCAATTTAACTGTGTGCTGTGTGAATGCTTCCTTTGAATCACGGGTATGAACTCATATAACTGAACCATTCTTCAGATAGTAATATGTCCACTCGTTCCTAAAATGATGGTTTTCTGTGTGAAGGATTTTATGGCTATGAGTGAGTACAGTGCTGTCATGCTAGGCTGCCTTCTCCCTAGTGTACAGTCCAGAAGAAGGCTTTTCACCTCATCTTCTCTTTCTAAGAATTAGGCCTAAAAGGTTTGCACAACCAGATGCCACCATATTATTTACCACCACAAAATCCCTAAAATGCCATTCGAACAGCTTGTGCTTGGGGTGAATGAGTTGTACAGATGGTGTGTCCTGGCTCAATGCTATAAACTGGAGTTCAAATGAAGTTTGGGAAAGATTCTCAAGCAATTTCTTTTAGTTCCAATTCTCTTTGCTCCAAAATAAATATTATTTTTGTTTTTAAAAAGGTTTCATGCACCCTATTAAGCCTCCACTTTGTAAAATGTTCATTTCATTTTTATTTAATAAAAATGTCCACAGGTGTTCATTGAGGTGACAGAAGCCACTTCTAACTGAAAGGGAAAAAGGAAAATAAATGACTGAATCAGTAAAAGTAAATTTTCCTCCCTAACCAAGGCAGAGATTTTTATGAGCTGTGACTGGGGGGTGGGTGGGGTGGGTGGGTCTAGATTCACAGTGCTAATTTTAAGATTTCTTCTTTGTCTTCATTGATGATGGCATTCTAGCAAGTTACTTGTCACTTCAAGGGAATAATCAGAATTTATTTCAGCTACTCTGTGGCATGACATCAGATCAACAATGACACAGGTATGATGTCAAAGAAAGAAAATAATTCTTAAAGTAAATGCTTTCAGGAAAACTTGCTATGCTAGCTGGGGGATTCTGGAATTTATAATAAAAAGTAACTTGTCTAAGCTCTACACTAACCACAGCCTTAACCATCGTAATACATTACAATTCTCACTGGGGACAAAAATGCCCACAACTATACTCAATGCAGTTTTTTAAAAAAATCATCATCATCATCATCTAGTCCATAACTATCTTCTGGAAGTTAATGGGCAATCACCATATCTTGTAGAGTTGAATTCCATAGTTTTAACTAGGCAATATACTGGGAAAGGAGAGAGCATACAGGAACAATCATTTCAAAGACTTAAGCCATTCAGTATTCCAGAATTCACAGAATCCTATCTTAGGG